GATCCCAGGACCCTGAGATCAGGAGCTGGCTGCTTAACCTACTGAGCCACCCAGGCTCCCCTGCGTATTTTCATTGCCAAGTACTAACACACATTTTGAATTTACAAGTGCGGAAGGACGTAAAACCTAAGTCCTGGGTCATAGCAGAGAACAGTAGTGTTATGTGGAAACTACCAGCACCTGTTCCAACTCTTCCCTCTTAGTCACATGGCATTTCCGAACAAGTTGCTCAGATGACTGGCTCACAGGGCCAGCTTTCATGGGGGCCCTAGAAGTTTTCCTCCCTCCAAGGGATTATTGACAAGAGTTAACAAATTTTAACAGGTTCCAAAGTCACAGGACAACTGACGGGAAGTTAAGGCAGGAAGAGCCCCAATTAGCCCCATTAACGTAACACAACAAGATGTATGCTGTCAACCAGCTGGGCCATTTACAATTGGTAATTAGGTCCACATGGACCTAATCTCTTTACTCTCAATTTATCAACCACATCTTTTCCGTCCTGTCCACTCTGCTTGCACAACACGCCATTAAAGCCCTATATAGCAAGCTTTTGCAACCACTGGCAACTTGGGAAAATCAACAGTTCTGCAGGTTGACCTCCTCCCCGAGAACAAATCACTGGATTTAACCAGGAGGATAGCACACCTTTTGATCGGAAGAAATATCACCATTTTTTTAAAAAAAGCATCCTAGGTAGATACGATTTATATAAAGTCCTTGGGTGACCTCCTCATACACAGAGCTTCAGTGTGTAAGATGTGTATAAGTGTATATAAGTGTCTAAGATGATTATTTAGTCCACAGCTCTAGCTCAGAACTTTTTAAAAGATTTTTATTCATTTATTTGAGAGAGAGAGCAGAGCAGGGGCAGGGAGACGGAGGGAAAGAATCTCAAGCAGACTCCATGCTGAGCACAGAGCCCAGTGCAGAGCTCATTCCCAGGACCCTGAGATCATGGCTTGAGCCAAAACCAAGAATCCGAAGCTTAACCCACTGAGCCTCCCTGGTGCCCCTCTAGCTCAGAACTTCTATGAGGCTCCACTTCCGTGGTTCGGAGTGCCTTCCCATCCCAAGGGCAGCTCAGAGTTGAACTCCGCATGCACGCACACACTCGCACACTTCCCGTCCTAAATCTAAATTTTAGTAAATTATATCTGCACACTCAGATTCCCAAATCAGGTAGTGAAAGTAGCATATTGGAGGCACAGCAGGCCAGCTCTGGTTTGTCTGAATTTGGATTATTTGCAACTAGGGCCAGCACTTCCAGGCTGTCACCTCCTCTTTGGCCATGCCCCCTAGGCTGCTCCCTTCCTCCTGGACCACGTCTGCCCCTCCCCTCCCCTGGCTCTGTCTCAAGGTTACACAAAGGCCCTCTGCCCTAACCCAAGGGTCTCACCAGCCTGATGAATAGGAACCATCTGAGCAAATTTTAAATAAACCAAAAGCTTTCCAGGATGCCTGGGTGGCTCCATGGTTGAGTGTCTGCCTTTGGCTTGGTCATGATCCCGGAGTCCTTGGATCCAGTTCCGCATCAGGTTCCCCACAGGGAGCCTGCTTCTCCCTCTATGTCCCTCCCTCTCCCTCTGTGTCTCTCATGAATAAGTAAAAAAAATATTTTATAAATACATACATATATACATACCGAAAGATTTCTATCCTCTCCCCCAAGAGATTCTGACTCCGCAGGGCCAAGGTGGGACCTCCCCCGCTGTGGATACTGTTGTTGATTCCGTCTGAACCCCAGTGAGCAGCAAGAGGGACTAGGTTGCTTTGTAACTCCCAAAGTTTGGGACCCCTGTTCTACAAGGCAATGATGGTACCGTATGTATTTGTGCATAATGGTGGTCACTACACACACACGCTTGTACACAGGCACACACGCATATGCATGCGTGCATACATATTCACACACACCTGTGCGTGCACACATACACGCACATATGTTATTTCTGGGACACCTGAGCCCAGGTCATCCCTGACACATGGCTTTCGGTTGCCTCTACAAGGAACCTTCACCGAACAGTTACTCCCTGCTCCCTCCATGCCAGCCCCCAGCTCCCTTCTCCCGGTCCTTGCAGCGGGCTCCTTAGTGGTCTCTGGGGATGCAGAGCAGAGTCATGAATTCTCAACACCCTCAGTCACTCCGTCGAAAGCTCAGACCTCTCAGCTCGAGGAGCCGTGTTCACCAGGTATCAGGCTCCCCCTCCAACAGCCACGTCACAGGGGCACCCTTCACCACGCGCACATCTTGATGCGAACTCTTTGTTCCCAGGTGGAGTTCCTTTCTTAATCTAAAAGGAAGACACTAAATTTCAGGTATGAATGTTTTGAGGATCACTTTTCCTGGAAGGAAACACCAGCTTACATGTGCCCTGGAGTCTGTGGGATGGTCCCTTTTACTGCTCCTTCACTAGTTTTGGAAATAATCATCAAAAAACAAAGCAAAGGGATCCCTGGGTGGCGCAGCGGTTTGGCGCCTGCCTTTGGCCCAGGGCGCGATCCTGGAGACCCGGGATCGAGTCCCACATCGAGCTCCCAGTGCATGGAGCCTGCTTCTCCCTCTGCCTGTGTCTCTGCCTCTCTCTCTCTCTCTCTCTCTCTCTCTCTCTCTGTGTGTGTGTGTGTGACTATCATAAATAAAAATAAATAAAATAAAATAAAATAAAAATAATAAAAGAAAAAAACCAAAGCAAAACAAAAAACAAAAACTCAGCTGATTTGATTATGTTCTCTTACAATGTTTTTATTTTTCAAGTCTTTGGATACTGGCAAAATTGAGCATTTTTCGCATGTATTGCTCATGTGAATTTTTTCCTCTGTCATCTGAACTTTTGAATATTAAGTTTCACCTTTCTCTAATAAAACCTTTTTCCTGACTTAGTGGTCCCAAAGTGTGGTCCCTGGACCAGTGGCATCAGCATCACCCAAGACCTTGTTCAAAATCCAAATTCTCAGGGAGCTGGGATGGCTCGGTCAGTTAAGTACTTGCCTTCAGCTCCAGTCATGACCTCAGGGTCCTGGGATCGAGCCCTGCCTTGGGCTCTCTGTTCAATGGCGTGTCTGCTTCACCCTTTCCCTCTGCTTCTGTGATCTCTCCTGCTCTCTCCTGCTCTCTTTCTCTCTCTCAAATAAATAAAATCTTAAACAAGAAAAACAAATCCAAATTTACAGGCTGGACCCAGACCTATGAACCAAAAACTATGGCGGTAGGCCCAGCACTCTGCTCTAACAAGCCATCCAGACTCCAAACTACCCTATCCTAGACTGAGTGGTGGAGAATCATCTTGAACCCAGGTGCACAACAGGAAGGACACCCCCCCCCCTTGCATGACACCAGTCTTAGCACAGAGAAGAAGATTGCACATTCTGACACTAGCGTGCCTGAGGTTGTAGCCTGGCTCTACCAGTTACTTCCTGTGTAATTTCCGACAGATGGGTTAATCTCTCTGGGCCTCAGTTTCTTCAACCAAATAGGGATAGGGACAAAATAGGGCTAATCATATAACCTACTAAAAAAAATCATATAACCTACTGCATAGATTTATTTAAAGGATTACAGTTTCAATACATGTTAAGCACTTAACTGTTCCTGGCACACAACACTTAATAAATGTTAGGTACGGCTGCTACCACTGTGGCCATTAAAACTGTCACATGCTCATGGGCCTGAGGCCTGGAAGAGATAAGGTCTGATCTTAAAGGAACTTGGCCCTCAGGAAGCCAAGGAGGTCTTATAATACATATAAACACAATGCCCCTCCTCTTGTTCCCACCCCCTTAAAAAAATATATGCTTCTCCCTCTTCTGCCGAGCCAACCCAGCCTTCTCAGACTCACAGGCCCTCCCTCCCCTTTCAGTGCTGATAGAAGAAACAGGAGACTCTGCTCTTGAACTCTTGAATTTGGGTATACTGCATATCTCTAATGGTTACAAATGGGTTTGTAAGTCTATGCATTTTTATAACATTCTTTCTCTTAAAGCAACCTCCTTCTCACTGAAGGTCACTAGGAGTCTTTTTTTTTATTTTTTTTAAGTGGAGGTCCCATCATTCAGTGTGTTTTGGAAATACTCATAAGACTAGGTTAGATGGGACGCCTGGGTGGCTCAGTGGTTGAGCATCTGCCTTCGGCTCAGGGTGTGATCCTGGGATCTGGGATTGAGTCCCAATCCCATGGGATTGAGTCCATGAGTCCCTGCATGGAGCCTGCTTCTCCCTCTGCCTGTGTCTCTGCCACCCCCCCCCCCGTGTCTCTCATGTATAAATAATCTTAAAAAAAAAAAAAAGACTAGGTTAGACACATGAGCTCATGCTACTGTGGGTGATGAATCTTTACGGGCAAGAAATCGCATATAGAGTTTCCTGGAGATTTTGACTCCGCTGCCCCTTAGTAAAAGAATATCTCCCAGGGTCAGTGTTCCATGGAGAACACTTTGCGGAATGTTGTCTTGCAGCGAAAGGAAAAGGAATCCCAAGATCGGGATGACTTGTTGATGGATGGGTTAAAGACAAGCCCGGTGTTGTATAAGAACATTTTATATAGGAAAGTATAGAGTTTTTCTCTTTAAAGAAGTAGCAAACTACTTTAGGGGCAGGGGTGTTTTCTGTGTCTCCCAAGAAAGACAGTGAATCTTCCTTGCTTTAGAAAAATGAATTGATCCTCTTCTGCCCCACTACACCCTACATGAGACTCTACTGTGATACTCATTTGGTATTTTCCCACAGGAGAGACTTGCCAAGTTTTCCCAAGACTGGGCAATTATTGGAGAACGAGGAAGCCGTGATCTCTTCACGCTACTCTCCTCTCTGTGAATATTTCCAGATATTGATCTCATTCACAGACGACTCGTACCTGGGTCATGCCTGGGTCGTCTCATCTTTCCTACTCGAGAGAATTGAAAAATGCTGTCAATCTCACTTCTTTCTCTCTCTCTCTCTTTCTCTCTTTCTCTCTCCCTCTCCCTCACCCTACCCCCCTGTTCCTTCCCTCACCCTCCAGGAACCTTCTGCATCATTTCACTGTGCACCTGTGTGGCCGGAATCAACTTCGAGCTGTCACGCTACCCACGCTACCTGTATGGACTCCCCGATGACATCAGCCACGGCTATGGATGGTCCATGTTCTGTGCATGGGGGGGCCTGGGCCTCACGCTAATCTCGGGATTCTTCTGTACCTTGGCCCCTTCTGTCCAACCTGTCCCGAGGACCAACTGCCCTAAATCCAGACCCGAGAATGGGACAGTGTGCTAAAAAACAAACCCATACATATATATATATATATATAAATATATATATAATATACATATATAAAACAAAACTAACTCAAGATGATGCCAGTGCCAAGGTAGAGTTGAGTTGGCTCAGGCACCCGCATCTCGTTGGACTTTGTGTTGCCTCATCACCGAGATGGGGAAAGCATTCCCATCATGTGGCTCTTCCATCACTTCTTAACTTTTGGCTCCATGGTGTCTTGAAGACAGAACGAACATCGCCACCCACGATAGCGTCCTGATTCCTGTCACTCATGAGGATGGGGTGACGGGCAGGGAAGGGACAGTGCCAGTGTCCTGAAGCGGCACGGAAACAGACGAGGAGGTGCCGTCCGTGGGGCCAGCAGTGAGGACACCACCCCAACACCGATCATACCGCAGAGAAACGAAGCCCTTAGTTCGTAGAATGTAACCAGATCTTTGAGGTCATTTGCAGAACCACTTCTCCTGATCTTCCTGTTCTGATTCCCTCCCTGACCCACCAGCGACACGCAAGACGTGGAGGAGAAAAGGACCGACAAGAAAGTTTTCTCTTTGTTGCCAAACTTTTGGACAAAGTGGTAGAGGTGGGAAGGGGGAGAGAACAAATGTGCTGAGAGGCAAGATCCACGTCAATAAAAGGACACTTCAGTGGATGCTCAGAAAACCCAGTCTTACCTTCCAGCTGCCTTACACTCAGTTAAACAAGAGGCCGCCCTGCCCCTGACCCCACCTGCACTCCTGCGAGGGCAGATCGGAGCCTCGGAGTAACGCTGTGATGTGCGCGTGTGCGCGTGCATGCGTGTGTGCGTGTGTGCGAGACTACTCCCGGTGGATTCCTTTACTCCTTTTCACCTTTTCAAATGGAAATACTGCATCATGACTGTTGTCTCCATCATTTGTGGTCGTTTCGTGGCCCAGGCCGGAGGCCCGAGACCAAGGAAGAATAACGAGGGCCAAGCCAGTGCGGGTGCCCGTTCCGTAGCTTCGGATCCCTGGAGTGTGTGTGTGTGTGTGTGTGTGTGTGTGTGTGTGTGTGTGGTGGATGTTCCCTGAGTGTGGGGTTTTATCGTTTGTGTTGCATTTTTCTATTGTTTGTATGTGCAGCTGAAATTCCCAGAGGGCAGAACCGAGAACAAAACCGCTGGGCCGAGGGCCCCATGGTCCGTCATGTCACAGTTCTGGGATGCCACAGGATTTAGTCCTCTAAATCTGGAAGTTCAAGACAAAGCTGGGCACAAAAGCCATGAGAGAAGAGGGGGAACACAGTTCAGGAGGGAGAAGGAACGTTGCCTCTGTTGCTGTTGTACAAGTACGTATACACGTATACCAAACCAGACCTTCACTCCCCATCATGGAAGCTGTCCTTTGTCACTGGACATCTACCCCTTTCCTAGGGGCAACCTCTGTACAGATGAAAGAAAATGGGTCCCATGCAGAGAAAGCACCTCCATGTCCCATGGGCTCGAGTTTGTATGATATTGTGTAAATTAATGGAGAACTCTTGACTCTTTCCATCTTCTTCCTTTTCCTCTTGATATTCAAGGCCATGCATCCCCAAATAGCCGTCTTAGTGGCTAGCACCTAAACAGAGGTGGCACAAATCCAGCCCAGTGTCTCAGGCTCACTTGAGCAAATTGGCCCTGCAGGTGTTGGCAAACCACGAAGTCAGCCAGAGTCGTGGAAGCTGTAGGGACGAGAGTCTGCTGGGAAGAGTGGGCAGGAGCAGCTGACTGTCACCTCGGTGACCCTGCTGCGGCTGAGCAGCCTTGGGGAGGCAAAAAGTGAATCCCTAGGCTGTACAGTCATGGGTCAAGCATGTAGCTGAGAATTCAGTTGCTTCATAAATAAATGTGCTTTGGGCACTTTGCCAACAGCTCAATAGCCTTCCTTCCCGTCCAAGCACCTGTTCCATCTCCCTGTCTTCTGATCTGTCTTCCTACCAGTCCTCACCTTTCCTCACCCACTAACCACCTCTCCCTCCTCCACCCACAAGGCTACAAGTCCTGCCTGCCTCCTCATCTGCTCTTTTGGACAGTGTGTGTGTGTGTGTGTGTGTGTGTGTGTGTGTGTGTAATGCACATCCACATAGGACATCCCATGTGCATGAATGGCCTGAATGAGGGTCTCTGTAAAAGTGTAGCTCTCTGGTGCATTTTCTGTGTGTTTGTGTCAATATAACCTGGATGCAGCTGTGGGTATACCACTCAAGGCTTCCTTCCCAGCGACATTGGTCAGCTTCTGCAAAAGATCTCGTGTGTGTGTGCCTCTTGTATGGGTGTGCTGAGAGATGAGGGGTAAGGTGTGGAGCAGGAAATGCTAGTACCTTCCAATTGGGCTTCTAAGGATTTTTAAAATAAAGGGTTTATTCTATAGGAAGAGAACTCATTTTCAAGAAAACCCAATTTTTCTATTGTATACAGAATTTTTAAAATTTTTTCCTTGAAGAGTTGCATTTCCCCCTTCAAGGCATACTAGGGCTTGAGCAAGAGTGAGAAGTAGCTCAGATTGAGAGGCCTTGTGTCTTCCTGCCAAGTATCTTGAGTGGGCTCTGCCCAGCAGGGAGAGGCAGGGGCCCATGAGCATCTCTTTGAGGCCAGAGGGCTTGTCTGTGACCAGACCCAAACTCCAGCTGTTTTCCAGCAGGAAAATGGGGGAAAAAATTCTAAAGGGGGCAACTTGCTATCACTTAAACTTTTCTTAAGTAGCCATGTTTGAAGATACTGCTTCACCGACCTGTGACTGTTTATACCTTCTTTTTTTTAATCCCATGCTTGCCAGAAATGGATCAGCCACTCTTTCCAGCTACTCATCTTTATGATCGATCCTTAATACCGCTTATTGTGTCCCTTCAATACTTTCCTGAAGTGTTAAGAGATTCCTCAGAAAGAAGTCAACCACCTGGGCTTAACTCACCATCAGGAGAACAGGAGCTTTGAGCTGCTGCTTTGGTAGTGGAGCCAGGTAGGAACAGATACACGCTGAGGTTTGATCCTGCTTGGGACCAATTCAAAGCATAAGCCACATGACCAGGATGGAAGCCCCATACACATGGCAAGTCCTTTCCCCGGTGACCTTGACCCCTCTAACATAGGGATCCAGGTTAAGACCTGCTGCCCCACACTATCACTGGTGCAGTGGTTTGGTTAATGGAGAAGGAGGGGGCAGAGAAGGAGAAGGAGGCTGGAGCCCCTGCCAACTTCAAGTCAAAGTAGAACCCAACCTTCTGATGGGATTTAGGGTTAGCAGCCTCATTAAAGCCCCAGCCCCGACCCCAGGTCAAGTTTAATTTCTTACAGATTGTGCATGCAAGGTCTCTGATCATGTATGTGTTCTGAGCTCTGTGCGAGGCGGCTTTCATTTCCCTCCTTAACCTACGAGATTGAGGATTCAGGCAAGTGGAGTGTCTGCCTGGGAAGAGGTCCTATCTCTTTTTCTCCCCACTTTGAGAGCTTTGGTTTCTTCGTGTTTCCTTTTCCTCTCTCTCTCTCCACTCACTTCCACTTTCCTTCTGCATCAATTTAAAGTAGTTGATCAATTAGAATAGTTTAGGAATCTGTTTCTGGAGACACTCATACTCTTCAAGTAGCCCCCTTCCTCATTTGTTGTGGCTGTGGGCTTCCAGAGGAGATCAGGGGCTTCCTGGCATAAAAATACAAAACAGAATTTTTTTAATGTGCCTATTCCAGCCTCAATCCTTCTGAAAGCCTTTCAATAACTATATCCTTTCAGCTTCAGGGATCATAAAGTTAGGAAGACTCAACATCTCCACCAAATAAAGACAAAGCCTTCCTTGATCACATGTCCATATGCAGCACCCTGAGCCCATTCTGGCATCTTCTCTTGTTGGGAGGGGGGTGGTTTCCCCTAACAGTGTTTGCCCTTCCTTTTGTAAGGGGAGACAATATCCTGGAACTCTTGAGTATGGATGGGCCCTACCTCATAACAGTCATCCACAGTCATGAGAAGAGATCTCAAATGAACCATGTGTAGTTCTGATTTAATGGGGGATGTGCTGCTTAGATCCCTAATGCTGCCCACCTGAGTCAGACTCAGAATAATGAAATCAAGTTCAATACCCAGAGCCATTGACTCTGTCTTCACCTGACATATTCTGGGAGCATTAATTAACTGGTTTTCAAGTATCTGAGGGGAGGGCGCGGGAAGAAATACATTCTGGTCATCTTTGGGGTAGTTTGTGTGGGTTGCTTGGCTGATTCTTACAGCTAAAGGGAAGCTGCCTTTTCCGAGAATTTTCCTTCCACTCCAGGGGCTGACCATCCCAGTGGACAAATCCAGCCCCTTCCAGGGAAATATGATGAGTCATAGTGAGAGGTGATTTCACTATGTTTAGAAATCATGGGTGCATACCAGGCAGGTTGGCTTCCATGCCATCTTCTAGCTGGTATCCAATAAAGTAAGGGGACAGGTTTTTTAAACAAGCCCACCTGAGTTGATAGACACAAAAGATGCTGGTGTCTCTCAAAGCAGTCAACTTGGTGGGCTTTGTTTGCACTCTTTCCATTGATGCCTCCATGGTGCAAAATGTCTCCTAAAACATTATTGTTAGTTCATAGATTACATTGTTATTGGCTGTTGGATTACTTTTTCTGAACAATAGGAAACTGTAGAAAATTAGAAAAATAAAGTACAAAAAAAAAAAAAAGACTAAAGGATTGTTTATAATTCCATCACTCAGGGGCGTCATGATGGTCACAGCCCCAGCACTTCCACGGTCAGTGGTTGTCTTGGGTTGGCAACTGGGGCTAGGAATGTAGTCCCAGACCGCAGAACCGCACTGGTCTGCATGGACTTGACCCTGTGTTCATAACAGAAGGAGCACAGGGCTCTGAGCCCCGAAAGACCACAGAGAGACTTTTTGAAAAAGTCAGTGCCAGAGCTTAGAGATGAGCAGAACAGAGTGAAAAGATTCCTGCTTTGGTATTTTTCTTTCTTTCTTTCTTTCTTTCTTTCTTTCTTTCTTTCTTTCTTTCTTTCTTTCGAGTGCTTTCTCAACCTAATTATAGGTGTAAGAGCACTGAAGCCAGAGTAACTCACTAATTAAGCTGCACATCTATAGTGCAGTTACTGTAAAGTTCATTTCAGCTCTGCACTAAATGATTTGTGACTCTGGGCACTGTGTCTTCTCCATACTTGAACTTCCTCATCCACAAAATGAGGATAGTGATAACACTTTACCTCATGGTATATTAAGGGTGACAAGGAAATTGCAAAGTGATTTGCAAACATGACGTGTCACATAAATTACGCATTGTTCAAATGATCCTGCAGCAGCAGAGCCCCCATCATGCGGAATTCTTCTGTGTGATGTCTGGTCCTCACTGCTGGAAGGACAATTGGGAGTGAGCGGTCATCTTGGCCACCAGATAGGGCCGTTCAATCCAACTTCAGCATGTGGGATTGTTTTATCATTCGAGTCCCTCACAGAGGTTGGCTCCTTAATTTACCCATTCTCAGGCTTCCTTCCTTTTGTCCAAAGCTAATTTTGCAAAGGGCACTCTTAATCCCTCTCGATTATTCCCAGAGGTCACGGAATGAGTAAACCATCTGAAGCAAGTAGCATATGAGCTAACACAGTTAACTATTAAGCAAGGCATGGGGTCAATGCCTTTTTTTTTTCTCTTTTCTTCAAACATGATTTATGGCTGTACATGCCCTAGCAGTGGGAACAGATCAGGGTCTGAAACATTTTTTAATGGTCTTTTAAGTTTAAGATGGGAACCAGTTTCAAAGAACTGGAATCTTCTTTCTCTTGTCAGTTGGTAAAGCAGATGGCTTCATCAAAAGCATATGGGTTCTCATAGGAAGTCCTTTGGATGGTGCATTCACTAGGAGATGTTCTGGGTGTGATCCTATTTGGGAAAAACTGAATCCTAGGTTCTAGACAAGAATGCACTTCCAAAAGGGTCTGCACACTTTGTGCTTTGCAGGGGATCTGGTTTCAATGTTATAGTGAGACCTTCTCTAAGAGAAGTCCAAGTCCTTCCTCACTATAAGGATAGGGCCCAACCAAGAATGGGGGAGACTACCCAACCACAGGGGGTGTTTGTTCACTCTTGAGAAGCAGAAAATTGGGTGTAAGCATGGAGGGGTGCACAGTGGTAGCTCAAACCTGGCCTCACTTTGACAGATGCCAACTTTGGCAACTGTAATCCTATTCTTCATTTCCAAGGACTGAGTGTTGCTCCTTGGGGAACTCTTGTGTCTCTCTCTCCTGTCTCCCCTGACTCCCTCCGGCCAAACCTCTCCCTTCTTTCCCCATCACCTGGAGACCCTCTCAAGCCTGAATGTTTTGGTGTGTCTGTGTTGTTGTGGATGTGATGATGCCTTTCACATAGGGAGCTTTCACTAACTCATTCTCGGACTACTTTCCCACTCCCACCCATGGTGTGACTGTTTTAGATCTAAGACTATTTGTAAAAATGTACAAATAAAAGTGGAAACTGAAAATAAGGGGGAGGGTATTGAGACTAGACACACGCGTTGACGTAGCCCTCAGTTTTTGGAGGACTTAGGTAGACTGCCCTAGAATCCTGACTCCAGGTGGGATTTGAAGGGAAGGAAGCTGTTGGCACAGGAGTTGTTGTTGTTGTTGTTGTTGTTGTTTTCTGGTTGCTTCTCTTGACGGTCACTAGTGTCTGCTTGGGACCCTCTGTTCTAAAGCTTTTTGCCTTTAAAGTAAAATATATTTTCCAGAAAGTCAAAGCAAGTCATCCAAGTCTGAAGGGCGAAGGTCATCGCGAAAGTCACCACAAAGACCTGATCCTGGGTTCGCATTCGTAGCTTTGTTACTGGCTCTACTGGGGGCCTCAGGCGAGTCTTGTTACCTCACTGTCTCTGTGTCCTCTCAGCCAAATGGGGAGCAGGGGGCTCCTGGGGTCCCTGGGGCACCACGTCTCCTTGGCCATTCTGCTGCTATCCTTAGAGGCTTCGGCCCACGCAGGTGCGTGTGCTTCCCCCCTGGAGGTCCGTTTGGAGAGTTTTATTCCCTGCTCCTCTTGCCCCTCTCACTCCGCAGAAAGTAACCTCAAGCTAACAGCCAGTTTGTGCTCCAGTCCAAAGCCTTTGATCTACCTTTTTGTTCTCAGATGCCTTTTCCCACCCACTTTGCCATTCTCATTTTACTATCCTGATGGAGTTTTGCCAGCTGGGATAGGAGAGTATCAAAGGAGATGGTGCCTGTGAATTGCTTTGTAATCTGTGACTGACTCACTGTACAAACATGGCTTGTGATGTCAGAAGCAGGGAGGTTTGCTAAGGGATGCCGCCAAGCAGAAGGGAGACAGCCCTGGTGGGTGGTGGGGTACGGGCCGTGGGCAGCAGACGTGAGTTGCCTATGGAGGTAAGATAAAGAAAGCTTTGTGAAGGGGTAATGGGAGAATCACCAGAGCATCCTCAGCATGGCAGGGATGAAACAGGAAGCCCTGAGAGGCAGGGAAGTAGCAGGAAGTAGGAAAGAAGGACGGGGAATCCTACAGCACAAGGAGGTGCCTCCCCTCGGACTGAGAAGATGAGGTGCCCTGAGGTGGGGCCTGTAATCCAAGCCTTCCTCCTTTCTGATGGTCCAAGTGATCATCACTCCTGGACCGGTGTCAGGAAGGCAATTTAGACCAGTGCTGTCCAACAGAGATAGAATGTAAGCCGCATATGCAATTTTAAATATCCTAGTGGTCCCAGTTTTAAAAGTCCAAATAAACAGTTGAAAGTAATTTTAACACGTTTCCACCCAACATGCCAAAACTATTATTTTAATGTGGAATCAATATAAAACATTACTGAGATATCTTACATCCGTTTTCTTTTAATGAAGTCTTTGAAATCCAATGGGCACTTTATTCTTAGAAAGCATTGCAGTTTGGACCAGGCACATCTCCAGTGTTCAACAGCCACACATGGCACCTGGCTACCATATAGGACAGCAAAGATTGAGACTCTTTGTTAAGATGTCTAATCGGACCCCCTCCCCCATGAGTCACTTGGATCTCCCAGGTGATAGAGGCCAGAGGTTGGCGTTGGCCCAGAGTAGAGCACAGCAGGGGCAGCCAGTCTGCTATCCTAACCCCTGAAATTCTGCTTCACCTGCTTAGTCAGAGAGGACTATTGCTTGTCAAATACATGTCACCTGTGCCCCACAGGGTGTCAGCACTGCCCCTGGGCATGGCGCCAATGACTCCTCGAAGTTCTAGAGGCTAGAGCAGGTCACTTTCTTCAGCTATGAGAGCACCAACTTATCCCTATGCACATGCCCTTTACGTACAGTGGTCAGGGGGGCTAGACAGGCCTCCTCTTGGTCAAGAATAATGAACACACCATTTTGTCATCTAGTCCAATCACCTGCTAAGAACATCTCAACAATATTCGGAGCTGTTCCTTTCAGCCCCTTAATTTCCTTACATTTGTATCTTTAAGTCAAGTGCTAAAAGGGGATCCACTGGAGAGAGCAGTGACCACAGGCAAGACTGGGTTTTCTAGGAGGTGGTGGTGATGACAGGTCCTATCCTTTGCACTGGGACTCAGGCCGCCACTGCCTATCTGTCCTCCCTGACTAGAGACCTTCCTTAGATGCGAAGAAACCTCTTTTGTGTGGGGTGGGGGTGGATGGGGAAGAAGACAGTTTTCCAAGATGTTAGCACAGAGAACAGGATAAAATGCAAGCAAGCCACCCCTGGGCATACTCAAAGCATTTCAAAGAGCCAGTATGACAAGATTTAACTCATTTAAAATAGAACATTCTGAGCCTGTGTTACCAAGCGAAAGAAAATGAGCCCCTTTGGTGAGTATGTTTTCTATATGGTCATTAGACAGGGATCATAGCTGACAAAACTCTCGAACACCTGGAGTGTTTATGGTCCACCAGATTATTGCTTGGTCAATATAGATTTCTACAAATTTACCCTTCATTTGCCTAGTGCTTTCCGACTGGTTAGACAAGGAGTGGTGTGTGCTGCAGGATTCCAACACCGCCTCTGCCCTGGGAGGTAGCAAATTCCTGTGGTTATTGGTGCTAAAATAAGATTAAATATTCTGTTAATTCATTCTGATATGATGTGAATAAATGTGTTGTTTCATCTTAACAAGAATGCTACATCTTATCAGCTCTATTGTGCTGTCTGTTACTTCTCATAATTAATTAATTACAGGAAAGGTGATCCAAACCAGATCTCGAAACGATTGTACTCTTCGGAGAGGTGAATGTAACAGGGAAGTGGGAAGTGGGGGGGCGGGGGGGATGAAAAGGGAAATTGCCAGGTTCCCGTGATTTTTGCAAGGACTGAGGAAGCAGAGAGCATTTGGGGGACTTCACTGACACTCCATCTTGCAATTTTCTTTTTCAAATTGGCAGAAATATCGTCTTTCCATCGATCGAAGAAAAAAAAAGTGTCTGGTAATTAATTCAATGACTTGTTCATGGAAAAAAATAAAATAAATAATCTGTCAGTTGTGGAATGTAAACTGATTAAACAATTAAATAAAGAAGATCATGTTGTGTGTTTTAAGTAATTGTGTCTGCTTGGGGGAGAGGGGGCGATGCTGCAGTGTTTGGTGGAGAGCCATAATTTTCCCTCAGGGTTGGTATAGAAAAAAAAATAGAACAGCTCTCTATAGATAGCAGATTGAAGACTAATCCTGGAGGAAATAGACCATAAACATTTCAAGAAATGTGTAAGCCAAAGGTACGTGCTTTTAGAGTTTGGTGAGAGCAGGATTTGGAGAGTAATACAGAAGAGAATAAGAAGTAAACTATTGTTCTTTTTCTCCTTTGTTGGCATTAGTAACTTTTTGAAGAAAGCTTTGTAAGATGCTGGAATGGCTGGTTATGTTCTAAGCCCTAAGCCTCTTTCCCAGCCGTCAGCGAGGAGAGAGACTTCTCTCTCAGCCTTCATCATCTCTGCCCCTCGCTTAGAATCACAGTTCCCATCCACCCATGTGCCTTTTAAAAGTTTCTGGCTCCTTCCCCGGGGAGGACAGCTCGGAAAGAAGACAGTGGGAGGCACATGCGTGTTAAAGGGCATTATGTGTCAGTCGACATTGCGAAGTTTTAAGCAAAAGAAACTGGCTCCATCTGGTGCAAGTGGAAAAGTAATTTACTGAAAAGCATGAAGCCCTTAGCAGAGGCAGGAGGAAGCAGCTAGAGAGCCAGAGTCACACCCCAGGCTAACCCGGACTCCTGCCAATGCTGCTGTGGGACTCCCCGAGACCCTCCGGGGCTGCCTCTGCCACCACCTTTGCCTCGATGGGCTCCCGGGTCCCTCCACCCTTCAGGGGGTAGCCCCAGAGTCAGAATCTCAGGTGAGTGCACCAGCCCAGGGGGTGCAGGAAACAGGCCCAGAGCCTCTTATTTCTGTCTCTGGTGGTAAGCTCTGCCTCCCACCAAGATCAGATAGTTCTCCAGACACAGGAGGAGCCATATGATGCTGGGCAGACCAAAAGGGGGAGGATCCCGGATTGAGAGTGTCCCTGCATCTTTGTGATGCATCCGAGTAGTGGTCAAGGGGGCAAGTGTCTAATCTTCATGATCGTCGCTGGTGCCATGGCTCATAGCCTCTGGCAAAAGATGTGCATAGTGCTGGACATTGTCCTGGAAGACCTGCGTAGATGTAACCTGAAAAAGGAACACTCATGTAGGCAGTGGAATTTAAAAAGAAAAAGATCAAGAATTATCATCATCACCTTGGAGGCAATGGAAATGAGCAGTAAAACGTTTCAAAAAGTAAGTACAGGTCAAAGGTAAGTAAGTGCCTTACAGAATGGGTGGGGAAGGGTCATAAGTAGAGAAAGACTCGGTGCAACGGGAGGCCGAGGCCGGAATCCTAAGCCCCCCTCCCCTCTTGGTTGTCACGTCCTTTCCCTGAAAGGCCCTTGTGCCTTCCAGGGAAAGCAGGGGGACTTCAAGGGCTTCCCTTCCAGCCCAGGGTGGGGGTGGGGGTGGGAGGGGGATGATGCACCCATCAGGTGCTATGAATCTGTGCTGCAGCATCCTGGCCTGAGGGGTGAGCGGAATGCCGGGATGCCCCGTAGACAGCCCGGGGTAAGCCGCAGAGACGCAGTCTGCTTCTCCTTTTTCCAATGAAGCACAACTTTGATTTCTGTGTCCCGATGAATTACGCGGTCCCCTGGGTTTGTGGGAAATGCATCTACTCCCTCTCACCCCAGCACATGTGCCTCGAGGCACAGAAGTCCCCCCAGTGAGAGCTGTTACAGAATTGGAGAAAGGCAGCTCTGGGAACCGTGACCAAGTCCCCCAAATATCTGGGGGGGGGTGCGTGGAGGGCTGCTGTCCTCCAGAAAGCCTTCCGTTCCTGAATGTCCATCCTGCTAGGTGCCCACCGCCTGAACCCCATGGCACCATGCCACGTCTCTCTCATGGCACTTAGTGCTTCCAGATGAAATTGGTGTTTTCCTTGGGATCTCCTTAGGAACTGGATTTTCTTAAAGAGCAGGGATTCTGACTTAACTCCTCTTCATATCCCAGTGACCGACAGGGCCTGGTGGGTAGTCAAGGGCTCAGTAAATATTGATCTTAACCAACTTAAGTCTTCCCCCATCCACCCACTCAAGTTGGCCCTCATACTGGTGTGGGGTTCTTCCTTAAGTGTTATTGGGATCCTCATACCCACCCTCAGATTCCATGATTTGTTAGACGGGCTAACAGAACTCCGAAGACCTGTGACACTCAGGGTTATAGTCTGTAACACTGACAGGATACAGATTAAGATCAGCAAAGCTTCCAGTTGTCCTCTCCCAGTGGATTTATACAGATGCCACTGAATTCTCCCAGCAGTGCTGTGTGACAAAAGGAGTCTTGCCAACCAGGGAAGCTCACCCTAGCCTCCGTGTCCCGGGATCTGGGGGAGGTCGGGTGTGTAGGCATCGAATGCTCATACAGCTGACCTTAGCTGCTCAGCTTCCAACCCCTGCTGAGGTCAAACTGACACCCTGTGGACGAGGTCCCCACCATAAATCCCAGTGATAGCATAAACTGGCTGCCATGGCCCAAGGGAAACCAGGTAAGCCAAGACCAACTTATCAAGCAAGATATCCCAAGGGCTTGGAGGTGATCTCCCAGGGACTACTCAAGGGTGTTACCTTCTTTGTGATGTGCAGGCTTTGGGCAACCCAGATGTGCAGCGTCAACCCTTCATTGTACATACAGTAAGTCATGTGATAAGTTAAATCACACCAAACATAGCTCCTCTCCACGTTAACTGAGTTCCTTTCTAGGTTTTCTAGATTCCTTCCTTATACCCCTTGACCCCTTAGAGAGAGGCCTGACCCTGCCCTTTGCAGGTCACGTGCTGAAGCTCTTTGTCTTTGGTCTCTTCCCCATCCCAGCTCCTCAAAAGGCTCCATGCACCCTTCACAAGGTGCTGGGGTGAGGATGGGGACTGGGGGAGGGGGCGCAGGTGCTTGAGTCTTTAAGCAGATGTGGATTCAAATCTCCCCGTATATAAGTTGTGTCACTTGGCGTCCTCAGCCTTTATCCTTGCATGTACGTGACGGGGCACTCCAACACCCACCCAGACCACTTCAGAAAGTCAAAGAGTGAACTGTAGGAGATCCCTGGCCCAGAACCGGTAACTCGGTGTCTCTCAGCTGCCCTGCACCCCTGCAGTTTGGTTTCTCATTCTTAAGCCAGCCTCACCTCTTACCTCCTTGGGAAGGCTTTCTGAACTGAGATTTGCACAATTGCTAGAGTCCTACAGGTGCCCCACTCGGTCACCATTGGCCAAAAGCCAATGGATGGTGAACACATTGATCAATTAGATGCAAACTCACATTGATTGTAGTCAACCACTGTTTGGTCAATACAACTCTCGTACATAGATACACAACTATGTGCAATAAAACCATCCCTTGAAATAGTTTTGACTCAGGAGAGGAAAAAAATCTGGGATTCAAAGTATTCTATCCCTTTGCAAAGGACTTCCTTTTCCAGGAGTGAGAGAAATGCTCTAGAACCTTGCCACTCTATCGGTGTCACCTGGGATCTTGCTAGAAATGCATCTTCAATTCCACTTCAAATCCATCTTCAATCCCAGATCCACTGAATCAGAATCTGCATTTTAACATGATCTCCAGGCAATGTGGATGCCCTGGTCTGGAACATTCACTTACCTAGCTACGTGATATGAAAATCATGTTTTCAATGCTTCTGTTAATATCTTTTATCTAGGGTAAAGATCACAGGAGGATTTCAAAGGACAATGAAAAAAAATTAGTCCCAGTCTGAGATTTCAAGCCACATTTGAACAGGTATTGTTTTAAACTAATGTCCTCCCAAAAGATCCTTTCTGCTGGGCTTAACCCTGGTTTTAGTGTAAGCACCTGGGGAACAAGGCCATGTAATTAGGTTTTGTTTCTCCCGATGAGCAGGTGTCGGGCAACGTTAACACCATAGCAGCTGTGTCCAAGCAGGTGTGCATAAGGCCACATGGTTTCCAGCCACCGTGGGAGAGGAGGCTCGGGGTGGCCCGAGCGGGGGGACTTTGCTCTTCGCTCTTCCAAAGAAAGCCTGGACCTTGAAACCAAATAGACCCAAAGAATGGGGGGACTCGAAGCCCTGATGTCCCTTCCTGTGTGTTCTCTGTGAGCTAGATGGCAAAGATTTAGTTCATGACAGTGTGACTTACTGGCTTTGGACCGCTTGTGCTCAAACTTCTTACCACCTACTAATATAATAACCTCGGGCGAGATTCTCAGCCTCTGCATGCCTCAATCTTTCCCTCAACAAATGAGGGTAATAACTTACCTTGTACGGTTGTTGTGAGGATAAAATGGGTTAATATTTGCTGCGTTGCTTAAACCAGCGCTTGACATGTAGTAGGTACTATATATGGATTTATTATTACATCATTCAAATTTTATTTATTTTTTTTAATATTTATTTATTCATGAGAGACAGAGAAGCAGAGACATAGGCAGAGGGAGAAACAGGCTCCATGCAGGGAGCCTGACGCGGGACTCGATCCCTGAATTTGGATCAGGCCCTGAGCCAAAGGCAGACGCTCAACTGCTGAGCCACCCAGGGGTCCCATCATCATTCAAATTTTAAATGGCCCATGTGAAGTCCCCCTGGCTAATGAGACCTGAGCAGAAGATGTGACTGTGAGGCTAAGTGTGAGGACAGAGCTGTGGGAAAGAGTGGTGGTGGCCAGAGTTTTCTGCAGGTGATGGGGGCTGCAGGTGTGTGGAGGGAACGGGAAGGGCAGC